AAATTTCGTCGATAGTATAGTAATATAAGTATATACAGTATACGAGAGGATTGACAATCAAACTTAAAAAAACTGTGACCCGCGAAATCAACATCTTATTAACTTAAAAAAATTCTGTATGCAAAAGTAATAAAGAATTTTTGATATTAAAAAAAAAATTGTCAAAATAAATGTCCAGAACTACGCTAATTAAATTACAGATTATTTAAATCTTCCAAAATCATGATAAAATGTTCTCTTTCATAAAGTTAACTCGAGTGATCGTGTTTATTTTATCAAATCGTCAGAATTTAATTTTTAAATTTAATGTTTGTTATTACATATAAAATTACCAACTACGTAGAGATTTATAAAAGAAGATAACATTTTACCGCTCCCGTGTACAATTACTATCAGAAGGTATAAAAAAAATTAATTACTTTTTTGCATTAAAAAACGCTGCATCTATGTTTTACTATTAACATTGTAATTTTCCAGGAAATTATTTACTACTATAACCGAATGTAGATTTGATCCCTTTTCTTTTAAATTGTTTTGCGAGCATTTGAAAAAATTTCCAGATGAGGATGAAAATGGAATTTCAATCATTGATGAAATAGGTCTGAAGTAAAGTTGTACATTGTATATAGTTCATTGTTAGTGCTTATATAAAGATATACATTTTCTGAAGAACTTAACTACCTAATTATCTTTGTTTTGGCACAATCATCTCTATCCTTAAACGGTTAGATTATTCAAAAGTTGACATTTTGTCAACACTACCATTAAAGTCATGTATTTTTACCAATTAATGTGAAAATATTAAGAAAGTCAAACTGCTCAATCCATAAAAACAGTGAAAGTCAACTCATACTTTGACGGATCTTAAAAACGTCTTCAACAATAAAAATGATAAAATTATAATAGAAATATTAAAATAAATCATGCAATTACTGTCGATAATTGGCAAACGAAAAATTTGTTATTAGGTCATAATTACAGTTTGCCAGACACGGCAGATTGTATAATTCATTTAAATTACGGGAGCAATTTTCGAAAAAAGATCCAAAAGACACGAAATCCTCGAAGTGTATTAATTCCTTAAAGAATTCTGAGCCAAATCATTCGTACCTGCGGTATTTGTTCCACCCTAAAATTCCGCAGAACAATTTTGAACATCCCAATTTAGGTGTTAACAAACTCAAAGTGAAGAGCATTTTTGACGAAATTAATAATATAAATTTTACATGAAAAGATGTAATTGAGAAATTATTCACAAGAAACATTTCACAGTTCCCATGTAAAGTTTATACGATTAAAAAATCATATTATTTTATAAAAATAAGGATGGAAAAAATAGCTATATCAAATAGCTATAGTTGCAATAAAATATGTGAATTATCAATAATTACTTTAATCAAAAATTTTGGGATTAAACAAAATACACTTTATCATTAGTAGCGCCACATAGTGGTTTAATTTGAACTAGCGTCAATAACCAAGACTAAATTTATATATGCTTAGATAGGGAGTCGGATAGGACTGTTACGAACTTAAATTTACTTAACGTACGCAATTATTGATGATTCAATGAATTTTAACTGTTTTATGGTTATGGAAGGGTAGATAAAATATAAACATGTATCACAGATTGCAATCAGTGAGTGCCAACTTGAAAAATCGTGAAATGTCCACTTTTTACCGATAAACCAAAAATGGCTGATCGTTTTTCAGAAAACTTCCAACTTTTATTCTCTGAAGTTGAATATCTTTTTCATCAACTAATGAAAATTTATTATTTATACAGTAGATAAAAGCTCATACATGATTTATATTGCAAATGTAAGCATAATTCGCTTGTATCCCGCATGATTTTTAAGTTAATAAAAAAAGTAAGAGTGCAGAGAAAATAGAAACACGAACTTTGTGTATTAGAGCGTCTGCTTGTTGTGCTACATGACAGACAGAAAGAGTGACGGAAAGAGGAAAAGGGTAAAAGTCGTGCATGCCATTGCGCGAGTAATGAGCAGTTACTCTTGATGAGTTTATTTGAATTATAAAAAAGTATGTTATTGAATATTAAAGATATTTCAATGCATATAATGAGAATTCAATATCAATTGTAAAAATTTGGCCTACGCCCTAAACAAAGGGTATAAGAATATTTCTACTTTCATGATCAATTGCGTCATGATACAATTAAGTAAAGATAGATTAAACGATAAAGCCAGAAAATAGAGATGTAAATAGAAGAGTCACCAGCTGGATTTTTGTTGGACAATTCTTTGGTTCACAATATGACGTTACAGCTCTAGTTCTGTGAACAAATCACCAGATGGCGTTCATTCAACCACGCCTCCTGCTATTTTGTAGGGTTGAAGCAGAGTTTGTGGGAGTAGAACCAATGTTGGGGGTTATGCTACAAACGAAAAATCAGAGATTCTGAGCGTACACGCATTCAACATGAATCGAATATTTTCCAAGTCCTACTGCATCAGTTATGGGAGTGAAAAAAATGACACGTTTTTATATGTACAGATCGATAGAGAATTCAGTTCTCTATCGATTAAAGTTAACTTTTTTTTTGCGAATTTTTTATTGCCAAAAAAATGAAGAAAAAAAATTCCTTAAGCATTGTTAGCTGCTGTTGAGAATTAATTAATTCTCAATTTGAATTTGCCAGCTGACAGGAACTTCGGCGGCCATCTTGGGACTGGGTCGATAACCAATCGACCTAATAATCAATAATTCTTTATCTAGTCACTCATTTGACTACTTTTGAGTGTCCCTTTTGACTAATGAAGTTCCTGTCGCCATTCTTTCACTGTTCTCGTTCACGTGTACACGCCATTATTATTCATTCTCAACAAATCTTATAATTGTGAGTCAATCATCAGTACTAGTGCGATTGTAAATCATCAAAAAATTCAGGCTTTACGCTAAATCCATAATCACGTAATATTTCACGATAATTCATTGTAAATTCAAGACATTTCATAAAATTCATTTTGCATTGCATTGATAGGCTCACGCCACGTGCACAATCATATTCTTACTCAACTTGAGAAGCGTGCTGAGCTCGTGTGGGAGGTCAATAATACTGAACACACCAAGTTGAGTATTTTTTAGACATTCAATTCACATTCAGTAATTAAAACTAGACATTCAGTGATTTTGAGCGACATTCAGTCTTCCTAGTGAACAACTCAAGTTCGTCAGTGTATTCAGTGTACCTGTTAGTGCTGAAAATAAAGATATTTTATTTTTGTTATAAAACCTGACTTCCGTTTGCTCTGTTCCGGCACAATCATCCCTATCCTTAAACGGTTAGGTTAATTCACAAGTTGAGATTTTCTCATCATTTAATTTGGTCCTTCGAGCCGGATCAGAGCTCTCGGTTTTGAAGTACAAATTTTTTGGTGCTACCAGTGCACTGCTTCCGACAATCAAGTGTGTGAGTGCACAAAATGGCCGATCAAGACAGGAAGAGTGAGGACCAAGAGTCCACGACCTTGAAGCCTCAACCAACAATCAGCGTGACTCCTGACGATGGTGTAGAGGAGTTTGGTAGTCCAACTGATCAACTAGAAGAGCCAGATCTCCAGCCACAACGGAGATCGACAACTGAAAGCACAATACAGACAATCACACCATCAAATCCTGGTCTACCGATTCAATTGACCTTCAAGATCAAGTCTCAAATGGCTCGGCTACGCTTAGCCTAATCATTCACTCAGCAAATCAAAGACCAACAACAGACAATCACTAAAGAAGAAAGACTCTCGCTGGAGAAACAACTCACAGCGCTGCACGAGTCATTCAATTCAGAACATCAAGTGCTCGAGGAGGTTTGGCCACCATCTCAATTTCATCATCCGTACATTGTGGATGATGTCTTTGAGACATTCAACAAATCAGTCTCAGACTTCTTCATGATATCTGCTAAGGTAGCTTCCAAGGAACCTCCAGCACAATCAACATCAACCAGTGGTGCATCTGACGTCGCACAAGCTTTAGCCCGACTTCCTAAGCTGTCAGTACCCAAATTTCATGGAACTAGTGCATCCTGGTTGTCATTCAGAGATCAATTCGAGTCCATGATAGCCAATCAACCTGGTCTGGATGAGGTAATCAAGTTTAATTATCTCAAATCAGCTCTTTCAGGTCCAGCTCTCTCTCTGGTAGAGAACCTTCCTCACACGAAGGAATCATTTACCAAGGCATGGTCGACACTCAAATCCAGGTACGAGAATCGCAAGAGGCTCATCAATGTTCACCTGGAAAAACTCTTCAGCCAGTTTGCTGAGTCTAAAAGAGCTGCTCTTCATTCAGCCAAGATATCATCTTTACTCACCATCGTAGACAATTCATTGGACTCACTCAAGCTATTGGGACAATCAACCGAGAATTGGGATACAATTCTCATCTTCCACATTCTCAAACATCTTGACCAACATTCTCGTGAGCTCTGGGAAACTCAGGACAATGATCTTGAGCGGATGCCTACGTACTCAGAGTTTCGTGAGTTTCTGCTGGCTCGGATTCGTACCTTGGAGAAACTGGAGCCACGAATCAAATCAGACAATCAACAACGCTCATCGCATTCAACTACCAGTGAGCGTAGATTCATTTGTGACTGCTGCAATGGCGGTCATTTCATCGTAGTCTGCCCAGAATACAGGGCTTTGCCTCTTGAACAGCGATTGAGGACTGTAGACAGTAAAAAACTCTGCAGGAACTGTCTTGGAAGACATAACACACCAGCTTGCACCAACAAGAACAGATGTAAGGAGTGCAACTCTAAACATCATACAATGTTCCATTCACTACTATTCAGACAATCATCAAGCACCAACAATCAAGCGTCTTCCAGGACACAATCATCACAACAATCATCATCAGACACTCAGCCTTCAACTTCACAGCAATGAGGAGGCGAAGCAGTCTTCAAAGAACATTCACACAATTCACAGACATTCAAGATTGCTGATGGACTTGCTCTGGAGGGTCAAACTGACTGGATGACCTTAGCACATGAGGTTTCGGCCTCAGGAGGGTTGAGGGTTCAGTTGGAATGGTCCAAAGGACAAGCTCAGAAGCAGCAAAATCATCTAGGACAATCAAAAGGTCAGAATGACCACAGGACAATCAATCAACATTCAACTAGTAGTGCTATCAGCACACAAAATCATCAATCAAGTGACGTTAAATCAACTCAACTCAGCAGACAATCACCGACGAGAGCAATCTGCTCAAGTCAAACAATTCCAAGTCATCTACATGATCATTCAACGCTGTTAGCAACAGCAAAAGTCAGAGCCAATTCACATTCAGGGAGTTACATTGCACGAGTGCTCATAGATCCTGGATCAGAGCTAACACTAATCACTTCTCATCTAGCCAATCTGCTGCAACTGAGAAAACACCATCAGACAATCAACATAAGAGGAGTGGGCAGCTCTAAGCTCACTCAAACAAAAGGTGTAACATTCTGCGAGCTACAATCATTATCATCCAATCATTCAGTACACATTCGAGCTCACATAATGAAACAGTTGACAGCTTCAATTCCAAAAGTGCCATGTAATTATCCCAACAATCACTGGCCTCATCTCAATGGATTAACACTAGCTGATCCAACATTCAACACTCCACAATCGATAGACATTCTACTTGGAGCTGACTTTTATGGACAAATCATCAAACAAAATATCATATTTCATTCTCCAACAGCTCCTATAGCTCAACTTTCTATCTTTGGTTGGCTAATTCTTGGTCCAGTAGCACCAAATTCATCAGTCAATCACTATCACATTCATCATGCTACTACAATCACGAACCATGAAGACATTCAAGAGTTGCTAACAAAATTCTGGGTCCAAGAAGAAGTTCCTATGTCAAATCAACATCAATTATCATCCTTGGACCAACAATGTGAAGATTTCTTTAAATCAACTCACTCTAGACATTCATCAGGACGATATATTGTTAGAATCCCACTCATTTCTTCACCCTCAGCTCTTGGGGACTCCTATACAACTGCGTATCGATGTTTGAGGCGTCAGTTGAGGAGATTAACCAACGAGACTGAATACAGCAATCTGTACAGACAATTCATGAAAGAATACGAAGAACTCGGTCATATGAGACCTGCTCCAACAATCAACCCAGAGTCTCAAGACATTCATCCATATTTTCTTCCTCATCATGGGGTATTAAGGCCAAGTAGCACTACCACCAAGCTCAGAGTAGTCTTCAATGGATCCAGCCCGACGTCAACTGGAATCTCATTGAATGACATCACTCATACTGGAGCAAAAATTCAATTGGACATCTTCGACGTACTTCTTTGGGTTCGTCAACATCAATACGTATTCGCAACCGACATAACAAAAATGTATCGTCAAATAATGGTTCATCATGAAGATTGGAAGCTTCAACAAATTCTTTGGCTAGACAATCACAACAGAATCATCCCATATCAACTCACAACAGTAACCTACGGCACTAGATCAGCTCCTTATCTAGCAGTTCGTGTGTTACTGCAATTAGTAGAGGATGAAGGCCATAAATATCCAAAAGCAACTCAGACAATCATTAAAGGCAGATATGTCGACGACATATTTGGAGGAGCAGATTCTCCAGAAGAACTAATTCAAGTTGCTGAGGAATTAATCAACTTGTGCAAGGCGGGCGGCTTTCCCCTTGCAAAATGGCAATCAAACAGTCAATCACTTCTTCAAAAAACGTCACAATCATCAGGCAATCAACAAAAAATCACCTTCGAAGACTGCACTACAAAAATTCTTGGACTTCAATGGAATTCAAGCTCAGACACATTCACATTCACATCAAAATCAGTCACTCATGAGTCAACATATTCAAAACGCCTCATTCTTTCAGAAGTAGCTCAAATTTATGATCCTTTGGGGTTTGTGTCACCAATCACAATCAGAGCTAAGATGCTTCTTCAAGAACTCTGGTTACACAACCTCAGCTGGGACGAACCAGTCCCACAATCAATCATCAATCGCTGGCTGATCATCAGAGAAGAATTCACTCAACTTCATGAGATTTCACTTCCCCGATGGATTCACACAACCAGACATTCAACTGTCGAGATTCATGGATTCTCTGATGCTTCACAGCTTGCGATGGCTGCAGCAATCTACTTAAAATTCAATTCACCGTCCACAGGGCCCAAAATCACACTCATCTGTGCGAAAACTAAAGTAGCACCAATCAAACAAATCACGATCCCCAGGCTAGAGTTAACTGCTGCGTTAATTCTAGCGAAACTCACGAAGTATGTTCGAGCTACACTCCACAGAGTGAACATACATTCAATTCACTTATGGACGGACTCTTCAATCACACATTCGTGGATCAATTCAAATGCAGGACGCTGGAAGGACTTTGTAAGGAACAGAGTAGTGCAAATTCAAGAACTAGTTGCGGACGCGCACTGGCACCACATTTCTGGCAAGGAAAATCCAGCGGACTGTGCTTCAAGAGGCATCACAGCAAATCAATTAAAAGATTACTCGCTATGGTGGAGGGGACCCACCTGGTTAGCTGAAAATCAAGAAAACTGGCCAGTAAATTCACCACCAGCTGACGAGGCTTGCAACTTAGAAGCTCGTCCTGGAATTTCACTCATCGCAGCAATTCAAGATACAATAATTCAATGGGACTTGGTCAACAGATATTCAACACTCAATAAACTACTTAGAATCACCGCCTTAATCATCAAATTCACTTCAAGACTTCGACATTCTTCAGTTACCAGTCCTTTAGCATCAATCACAACAGCTGACATCGAAAAAGCGAGAATCTTCTGGATAAAGTCTACTCAAGCAGCACATTTTCACCAAGAAATCAGGACTTTATCCAACAATCAACATCTTCCACCAAACCATTCATTTAACAGACTCACAGCATACGTTGACTCAGAAGGAGTTCTACGAGTAGGAGGACGACTTCAGCATGCTCAGTTGAGTCATGATTCAAAACATCAATCAATTCTACCTCGACATTCACCATTCACTACTCTTATTATTCGACATTATCATTTAATCACGCTACATGGTGGCACTCAACTTACACTCACAACAATCAGACAACGTTACTGGATCATGGGTGGAAGAGCTCCAGTAAAAACATTCATTCTTCGGTGCATCGAATGTGCTCGACAAAGAGGCATAAGAGCACAACAACTCATGGGCCAATTGCCACAATCACGTATCACTCCTTCACGGCCATTCTCTCATACTGGCATAGACTATGCTGGGCCATTCACAATCAAAACATCATCAGGCAGAGGAGCCAAGACTAGAAAAGCTTGGGTCTGCGTATTTGTCTGCATGTCAACTTCTGCAGTTCATTTGGAAGCAGTTAGTGACTATTCAACTGAAGCATTCATTGCTGCCTACAGGAGATTCACCTCTAGACGAGGATTATGCCAGACAATCTATTCTGACTGTGGCAGAAATTTCATTGGAGCTGATATAGAACTCAAGAAATTATTCACACAATTCACCAGAGAACATGAGGTCATCTCTAGATTCATCATCACCAACGGCACTCAATGGTCATTCAACCCACCTGCAGCACCACACATGGGTGGCAAGTGGGAGTCAGTAGTGAAATCACTTAAATTTCATTTGACGAGAACAGTAAAAGAATCACTCTTCACGTTTGAAGAGATCACCACACTACTGACACAAATAGAAGCCATTCTCAACTCAAGACCTCTAGAGCCAATCAGTGATGACCCAGAAGACATTCAAGCACTCACTCCTGGACACTTTCTTATTGGGTCAGCACTCAACACTGTTCCTGAACCATCAACCTCAGAACCTGCACATTCAATTCAAAATCGATGGCGGATGATTCAACGACAATCACAGCAGTTCTGGTACAGGTGGTCACAATCTTACTTACAAAAATTACAAGCTATTTCTAAGTGGTTTTTCAGGAACAGAACAATTCAAGTTGGTGCATTAGCCTTGCTAACTGATGAAAGATTTCCCCCCACGAAATGGCCACTCGTGAGGATAATTCAACTACACCCAGGGCAAGATGGGCTTCCACGAGTAGCAACGGTGAAGACACCAACAACGACGTTGGTCAGACCAATCGTCAAGCTAGCCATTCTACCAATCAACCCAACTCCTGAAGCCCAGCAGCAGAATCAACCAGAAGACAATCATCAACCAGTTGCTGATGGCGGGCGGCATGTTGAGAATTAATTAATTCTCAATTTGAATTTGCCAGCTGACAGGAACTTCGGCGGCCATCTTGGGACTGGGTCGATAACCAATCGACCTAATAATCAATAATTCTTTATCTAGTCACTCATTTGACTACTTTTGAGTGTCCCTTTTGACTAATGAAGTTCCTGTCGCCATTCTTTCACTGTTCTCGTTCACGTGTACACGCCATTATTATTCATTCTCAACAAATCTTATAATTGTGAGTCAATCATCAGTACTAGTGCGATTGTAAATCATCAAAAAATTCAGGCTTTACGCTAAATCCATAATCACGTAATATTTCACGATAATTCATTGTAAATTCAAGACATTTCATAAAATTCATTTTGCATTGCATTGATAGGCTCACGCCACGTGCACAATCATATTCTTACTCAACTTGAGAAGCGTGCTGAGCTCGTGTGGGAGGTCAATAATACTGAACACACCAAGTTGAGTATTTTTTAGACATTCAATTCACATTCAGTAATTAAAACTAGACATTCAGTGATTTTGAGCGACATTCAGTCTTCCTAGTGAACAACTCAAGTTCGTCAGTGTATTCAGTGTACCTGTTAGTGCTGAAAATAAAGATATTTTATTTTTGTTATAAAACCTGACTTCCGTTTGCTCTGTTCCGGCACAATCATCCCTATCCTTAAACGGTTAGGTTAATTCACAAGTTGAGATTTTCTCATCAGCTGCAAAAATATAAAGCTCTACCTATAAATAAAATTTATAGATTGTTTATCATCTTTTATAAAATAAAAAATAAGTGATCTACAACTCTTAAACAGAAAAATCTGCAATTTCAATTATGCATAACTGAAAAGCCAGCGGTCGCGAGTTCAAATCTTAAATGAGCCTTTTCAATAGATATATAGTCGTCAAATAGCGTATTGATTTCTAACGATCAATCGGGAGCTAATCATAATGGCCATCGATCAACGAATAATCAATGATCCGTAAACGAGCATTTCAATTTAGAAGATCGTATTCCTACTCATCGCGAATAAATTTTATTACTTAAAATTGCTAAGCTGGAATTAAAATATAATAACGTGAAACAAACAATTAAAAATTTGAAAAGATTACGGAAAACTAATCGTCCTACGCCCGATAGTATCATCAATGACGCTTTAAATTATCTAGATTCTGATCAGCCTATCATATTAAAAATGCAGTTGAAGCGTTCCGTTTCTTCAAAAACAGAGTGGACGTCAGCCGAAAGACGTTTTGCAGTGTCACTGTACTACATTTCCGCTAAAGCATATGTTTTTCTCCGCGATACAATAAAAATCGAATTGCCTTGTCTTAGTACAATTCAGAGATGGGTAAATAAAATCTTGATATTTTTAGCGGTTTCGATGACGAACTATTCGATAGGCTACGCGCGGAAGTCGACACACTGGCAGTGCGAGAACGCGACACGGTTTTAATGTGGGACGAAATGTCGATTAAAAAGCTTTTAGAATATAACTCGAAGCGGGATATTGTAGAAGGATTTGAAGATCTTGGGGAACTGGGTTGATCAAATAAGCGCGTGAAAAAATCTCTCGTTTTTATGATTCGCAAATTGACATTCTCGTGGAAGCAACCAGTTGCATATTTTCATTCACACACCGATGTGAAGGGCGAAAATTTAATTATTCTCATTAAATAGTGTATTTCGAAATGTACAAGTGCCAGTATTAATATTAGATCAATGGTTTGTGATCAAGAGTCAAATAATCAAAAAGCCGTGAAGTTACTCAGGATTACCGGAGAAAACCCGTCCATTTTGTGGAAAGATAGGAAAGTTTTTTTTAATTGGTATTTTCCACATCTGTATGAATCAATCCGTAATCGTTGGATTGAAAACGATATTCTCGTAGCAGGTTCTAGAGTATCGTGGAACGTGATCATTGATTTGTTCAAACACGAAATGGGAAACGTGTGCCGCGCAGTACCGAAGTCAAGTAAAAGACACGTTTTCGCTAATAACTGGGATAAAATGCGCGTTTCACTAGCAACGCAAATTTTCAGTGCGAGTGTAGCTGCGGCTTTAAAAACCGGGGTTCAAACCTTATCATTAAGTAATCCTAATTCCATAGCAACCGCGAATTTTGTAAAACATATGAATGATATGTTTGTTTGCCTTAGTGAAAAGTCCGTTGAAGATGGAAATCCATTACGACGCGGAATTTCATTTCAGTCTCTTCAAGTACAAAATTTTATTGATGAATCATTAGAATAGATTAATACGTGGGAATATGCAGATAATCAGCGTGAATTACCACCGTGCTTTCCAGGATTGAAATTGTCATTAAATTCAATTACGTTACTTTCACGAGATGTTCTTCATGGTGGTCAATCCTATTTATTAACGTCACGCCTTAATCAAGATTGTTCAGATAATTTATTCGGGACTTTACGTCGTCGTTCGGACAAAAACACAAATCCATCTTGAATACAATTCCGGCATAACTTACAATATAGCATGATTGCTGGATTAATGTCAGCCCCCAAAGGTTCTAACTGCATTGATGATGAAGGTAGAGATTTAAATATATTTTATAAAAATTTTGTCGTAGATGAGATCAATTATGGAAGAATCCACGAAATAGATGAAGATAAAGATTACCTAATTGACAGCGATAGAGACTATGAACCTGATAGTGATAGGGACGATGAAACTGATGTTGATACGGACGATGGGAAAATGATAGAAGCTTTCTTCGAAAATGAGAACGATGATAATGATGATAGTAAAGATCAGATAACAGAACTTTCAATACCAAACTTAGAATTTTGCGCGGTTAATAACGTTGCGGGTTACTTACTGAATCGGCTATTCAGAAAATTTTAATGCGAACAGTGCAATAAAATTTTGGTTAAATGACAAATTAACGGATAACACAGAATTGTTAAGTTTTTGGAAAGCATATGATACATTAGATGGTAAAAAATTCCGGCATTTAGTTGCACCTTCTGATAGGTTTTATAAAATCATTCAGGAAGCATACAATATATTTACGATGGAAGTTCCTAAAATAATTTATTTAGAGAACATCGCGAATATTCTTGAGCAAAAAATTCGTTTTAGAATCGAAGAAATTGATAGAAATTGTTGGCAAGAACCGTGTAAAGAACATCGCAATTTTATAGTTCATTTATTCGTTTGAACATATATATAATTCAAAATTTAAAGTAGATGAATCGAGAAGAAGAATCAAATTTAAAAAAACGAAAGAATAAGAAAGATAAAACCGATAACCAGCCAAATTCAAAATTAAGTAAAGTCATGAGTAAGTAGTGTAATTGCCCGGGGTTCCGCAATCTCTATAAACGAGTGAGTGGAACATAGGTTGAGCACCTACCGGGCGCGTTTCCAAGTGGCGTATGGAAGCATTGTCCGGGTATTACCGAGTGGAGGCCTCGGGAGCCGCGAGGCGTACCGAGTGCGAACACGAGGGAAGCGGCTGGCAAGTGCAGCCTGGGTGTGTACACACATTAAGAGGCACTGTGGACCAACTCCCCAAGTTAAGGTGTAAGCCATCGTGCTGAAGACTGAATGGCACTGGGACACTGTGTCGCGAACGATGTCCTTGGGGTACCAGGCGACCCCTCATTGTAGCTAGTCTTACCTGCGCAAGAGGCTCTGTACAGGTGGACCTTTATTTCCTCATCACTCGTAGGACTCGAATGGATGACCTTAGCAACATCCGGAATAGTGGGGGTCCTATTTCTTCTGACGAAGAGAAAGGACTTGGAAAAGCCGAGGCGGGACGAACCAGCGAGGACGGTGAGGTGCAAACCGAGCTGCCTTGTAAGGAACGACCTGCTACCGGCAAGGAGGATTAGGGGAAGAAATTCGATAACCCTGATCCACCGATACGCCTCAATAAGGAAAAGCTTTGCGGGGCAGCAAAGAAGAGGTTGAAGAAGGCTGTGTTGCTGGAGCTGGAGAAATCCGGGGCTAGCACAGCCGGGCTGAGCCAAATCAGAGGAAGCCAGGCGCCCTTGTGGTAACCGGCGGAATCTCTGGAGGCAAAGCAACTCCCTGTGGAACCGGAACTGACCTTAAGGTTAATACCGGGGCCACTAGCTCCACCAAGTCGGGGTCTTCTGCCGAAGCCGTGGGTAACACCAAAAGGCAGAGGTCGGAGGATTGCACCCCCCCCCCTCGACGCAAAATGTCGAGCGAGTAAGGCTCGCATAGCACCTGGGCCTGGCAGCTTTGCTAAAGCGGCTGCGGGAGGCAAGAGGGTGGCTATCGCGCCGGACCTCTATCCTTCTGCGACCCTCAGTAAGCAGCAAGGGGAACTAGTGCTGGCAGGACTTCTTCGGGCCCTGGACGATGCCATCAAAAATGGCACTGTTCTGGGATTCGAGGGCTACAATCTCGACAGAGGGCTTCTGTGGATTAACTGTCTTGATGAACGGGCAGCCACATGGTTCAAGGAGACAGTCCCCTGCATAAAGGTCTTGGAAGGAGTAAACCTCTAGGTTCTCGAGAGGGAGAAAGTTCCAAGACTCTCCAGGGTCACCGCGACGTTTTCCGGGCCACCGGTGGATCCGGCGGTAATCTTAAAAAGACTCGAAGGCCAAAACGCCGGACTGCACACAAACCTCTGGCGGGTATGGAGCACGAAGGCGACACCAACATTGCTTAGCCTAGTCATTCGTGTGGACGACGAGTCATTGAAGCTCTTGAAAGAGTTAGGAACGAGTCCTTACTGCGACCTAGGCAGAGCTCGATTCTACGAGGCGCCAAAGGCTGTGGAGGGGAAGCAGGCCGCACCCGGGAAGAGACAATTACCGGTGGCAGGGACCTCTAAGGTGGAACCCCCTCCGAGAGAAAAGAGGAGGCGTCCGGAAAAGCATGCAGCCTCTACCTCGAAGGAGAAGGGAACACCAGGGAGGCCCACCAACCCTCTACTTCTGAGACAGCCATCACAGGGGCTTGAGAAAGCGTACTGTGGAGAAGGCAAACCTCAGACCAGTGGACGGGCTAC